GTGTCAACGCATGTAGGTCGTCTTCGATCGCGTGGCGCTTGTAAGTTCCTTGGAAGTTGGCTACGAACTGCTGCCACAAGTCTGCCCACGAAGAGATCGAGTAGGGGGGAAGATGCATCAGCCATGAACATGCAGAGCCTTTCAATGCGGTTGGCAAGTAATTCGCCAACGCGTTGTCGTCAGCTCCGGCAGCGTAGAGTACCGTGGACTAAACCTGAAGGAACTCTTCCGGGTCGGTGCTCCCATCGTATTTCTCTATTGCTCCAAGTTGGAATCTTTCGGGCCATCGGACATCCCGAAGTGAACGACCGAAAGCTCTACACCCAGCGCTGGGGGCGGTGGGTTGTCGGCGATCATACGTTCTTCGTGGATGTCTATCTGATGATGAAGATGACGAGGATGATGACGATGACGATGGGTCGCTTGGTTCCAGCGTATTATTACGAGGACGTCGGCTGGGTTCTCGAGAATCCTGTCGTCGTCTCCATCATCGTCATCATTATGGCGACGTCCTTGACCAGTATCGCCCAGCACCTGCCATTCGTGATCGTCGTGATTGTGGCGGTTATCATGGTCTCGGTCTTCGCTTGAACGGCCTCCTCGATCTTCGTCATCATGACACCGTGAAGAGACATGACGCCGGGAACGGTTCTCGTTGTCTCGTGTGCGTCGTGCCTCTCGGCGGCCATTCAGGTGATCGCGGAGATCGCCGGTGCCGCGAGGCGGAGGGGTGGCTCGATGAGGCGATTCCCGCCGTTCAGGGTCTTCACCATTAGCATCGCCAGTTGGTGGCTGTTCCGGGTGCGCTGCAGCAGCGGTCTCTTCGAACGCGTTGTTGAGGTTGGTCATTGATTCCCGTAGTCGTTCTGTCCAACGTGCGAGATCGTCGTTCAGAACAGGATCGTAGGGGGTTTCCCTCAGTATTGTGTTGACGGCTCTGATGTGCTGGGCCGGAGTAGTCACTTGATTCTCCGCTTCCGTATTGGTGCTGCTGACGTGCCGACATCGTCGATAGCCAATACCTCATGCGGCATACTTGTTGTCGATGATCCATAGTCTTCGAGAAAGTGCAAGACTGATGGTTTGTGGGGATCGATGTCGATTACCCCAACAAATCGATCTGAAAATGGCGTCGCTCCCTGTTCCTTGTCTTCATCCCTGATGGGGATGTGTGACTGCTGGACCTTAGGAGGTGGCGTCTTCATGGCGCTGAGAAAGACCTTGCAGCTCGAGAGGTCGTGATTCTTTGTCTTGTGAATAGGACAATAGACATCATGAGTTGGAGAGGTACGCTGAATTCCACGCTCTTTGCAGGCACGAATTTCAGCATGGACGTTGAGAAAGATCCAGCAGGCTTGCAGGGTGTGTTTCCTGGTTTTGTGATAGGACATCAGGACCTTGTCACCTCGGAAGTAATCCTCGTCGGCTTGTGATTCCTATTGGGAATACAAGGCTTGGCCGCATTAGGATCCTTCTCGGGCTCGGATGTCGTCGACGTTCCGATCTCCGCTTCGGTGGGAGGATCCTTCGACATGGAGTCGCCCCAGGTTGTAGCCACTGCATTCTCGTTTCTGGCCATTGGCGGACCAGCTGAGATCGGCACTGTGGTGTAAACCGGAAAGATGATTTCACCGACTTGAGTCCACACCAGTGTTGTTGAAGTAGGAACTCCTTGGTTGAGGTTGGTGTTGACGCTGTTGTCGGCGAAGCTGGATGTCATAGTAGTAGAACCTTGAGCACCAAGTCCCCCTACCTGGCGCGCCACTGTCGACGGGGGATACCCGTAGACCAGATAGAGAGGGTATTGGGGTACGCTAGTACGAGGATCTACGTAGTACGACATCAAGCAAACAGGAAACAGGGATTATACTGGTTTAGGCCCCTTGGTAGGTACTAGCCCTAATCCAGTTGATATGGGATTATATGATGGAAATCACAGATTACAAAGGGAATAGCAGAACTCGACGATACCGACGAGATCGTAGTCGAGTTGATCCGACTAGATCTCCCCGCGACTTGGCTCTGACAAGCTCCGGCTTCGTAAGCTGTGGTGGGTGAGTTGGCTCTAAGATTCGATGCCTTAGGTCCTCTCGGGGGGTCCCTTTTATATCGCAGGTCAACTGTCTCCAAGTAGGACTCGGAGAGGCCAGTCCGAACACGACACAATGACGACCCAGTTCTGACCGAGTAGGACTCCTTCCATCTGTGAACTCCATGATGTATTTCCTTAACGTATGCTGAAAACGTCCGTATACGCGTGAGCATACCATATCGATATATGACGTATATCGAAGGGTAGAGGGTATACCTTACCCGTAACCCTGACAATCGCAGCTTCATATTTCAAGTAGAAACTAAATTTCATAATAGTATTGTTTTGTCACAATTAACATGATGCATATAACTAACAAAAATAATTTAAGAAAAAAATATTGTAACTGTTAGTATGCATTTATGTGGCATGTGTAGCGTCCTCCAACCGGATGGGCGTAAAAAGGCAATAATGAAAAGTGTCAAAAATTCTCAAGAACATAATAACTGTATGATGCATCATTATCGATTTACTTACCATATAGACATAATATCATACTTAATGTTGTATTCGGAAACTCTTTTCCATGGTATGACACACAACATGGTCTTTTGATGGATCATTGGACAAATAATCTAGAAAACTTGAAAATGGCCGTATAGTTGGCTACCATGGGGAAATAAAGAATTTACTCATTTTAATTCATAGCTTCGGCAATATAGCTTAGATTAGAAAATTAACTTGATTCACAGCTTGGTCCGTATAGCTTGAGAGAACTTGTTGCACATACATAGGTGTGGAAACTAGAATAGCAAAAATCTAAATTTTGTCTACAAGCATCAAAATTAGAATAGCAAATTCTGCAAACAAACCCAATTAAGGTGAACAAAGGTAAATTTTCATTGGAAGAAAGTCTAACATTAATTTTTAATGGACAAGGCAATAAAGCACGGGCTACATGCGAAAACATCTTGTCCCAAGCAATAGATGCCGTAAAGCCTCTATTTCCATAGGTGGCTGCCTGGGACAAGGCTATTTTGACAGATCCATGGCTGCATATAGCTGGCCGCATGTGAAAATGGAGGGCTTTTTCGTAGGCAGACTTCCGTGATAGACCTTATACACAAGCCTTCTCATATTGTTATGTTTTGCTGTTACTGTGTTTGCTATCGAAGGAAAGTAACATGACACTCTCACATTTGAATAGAACTATACATTGGGGATAATTTGACATGAAGGACTACTATGTCTGATGTAAACACAAACTTTTGTTTCCCTAGAGAAAATAAATCACACATTTATTTTATTATAAAAAACTGTTTTTTCTTTTTTATGATATTTCTTTATGAAAAAGTTAATTGTAGTCTCTTGAACTATTTTGTGAAAGCAGTAAACCGCCTAAACTATATGCAGCTCAATTCACACCCCTAACTAGTGAAATTAGTTCGGCTTACTTCGTAACGATATTTTTCTTTTCTTTTCTTCTCTCTACATAAGGAGATAGATGCATTACAGTTTATGTCTTAACATTTTTTTAGACTTTTATATCACTGTCTACATATGTTGGAAGCACCAAATACTGAACTAAACATGGAGATTTTAAAGTTCAAACTGTCAAGGTTACGGATAAGGTATACCCTCTATCCATGGATATACGTCGTATACTGATACGGTATACCCGTGCGTATACGGGTAGTTCCTGTATACGTTAAGGAAATCTATCACATGATAGAAACAGAATCCACAGATGGAAGGAGTCCTACTCGGACAAGACTAGGTCGTTACCATATCGTGAGGGGTCCGATATCTCCGAGTCCTACTTAGAGATCAAGTAACCCGCGGTATAAAAGGGACCCCCTGGGCAGGACCTAAGGCATCGAATCTCACCGCCAATACATCCACCATAGCATACGAAGTCGGAGCCTACAGGAGCCAAGTCGCCGGGTGACCTAGTCGAACCAACTCGACTACGGTCTCATCGGTATCATTGAGTTCCGCTATTCCCTTTATAATCTGTGGTTTCCATCATATAATCCCATACCAACTGGATTAGGGTTATTACCTATCAAGGGGCCTGAACCAGTATAATCCTTGTCTTTTGTTTGCTTGATATCGTATTACGTAGATCCTCGTACCAACGTACCCCAATACCCTCTATATCCGGTCTACGGGTATCCACCATCGACACAAACGTTCATGAAAAATTTTAGATTAAAATATATCTTGTATAAAGAGGAACTAAAACAGAAATATTATTAAGAAGTAAAGTGAACAATTCTTTTAAAAAAAACTAAAGTGAACCATTTTCAATTGTGTAGGGATTAAAGTGAGCCAAAAAAATAGTTTAGATGATTAAGTTATTGAAGTAGATCAGGGGAGTATAATGGTCAATTTTCATTATTTGTTACATCTATATATATTGTGCAGCATTTCAAATAGTACAAGAATATTTTTTGTTGCAGAATTTGGTACCTCATAGTAACTGCTAGTTACTAAATGGTAAATGTGGTACTTCCTGATACATCCAGTATGGTGAAGTCACACTTAATTATGTGCTGTACATGTACTTTCTCATTCTCCGTCCATTTCAAAATATAAGGAGCTCTAGGATTCCAATTTTATATTACAATATAAGCAATCCTGCATTGATTCTTATGATTTCCATCATCTCAATGATCCTAGAACCAATCAGATGCTTAGAAAGAAAATCTAAGGTATTTAAAATTTAAAAATGGACAACTCAAGTGACAAAAAAGGAATCTTTTGACCTAACCATAGAATTTACTGAGCAACCTAAAAAAAATATTTTGTAACTGATGGTGGATGTTACTGAAATGACATTCAAAGCCCGCAGATGTTCTCGAAGAAAACCATAAGGCAAATAAAAAAAATATTAAACCAATTCCATACAAGACAGATAGAGTAAAAATCTGAAATTCTGGGCATGCATTGGTCAGCACAGAGTTACCTTTCTGAGGAAAATATAAAGCTGTTTCACTGTCTTGGTATCACTAGACTTGGACCCTTCCATTGTTGCCGCGTATGAGAACCCTGCCCCTATAGGAGAATCCACAAAGATTATGTTGCTCACCTGCAAAACCATACAAAGTTCATCCCTTAAAACCTGGATAAGGGCATATGCCTTTTTTTTCATTTGAGACAGAGATACAAATAATTTTCTTTGTTGCCACATTCAATAAAAAATGTAGGCAACCTTAGTCCAAGTCTCTGGTCGGTAGATAATTTCCGGCAATCCTCCACTGTAATACCGTTTTGCAGCGAATTGGAATGGCCCTATAAATATATGGACATAAACAATTTGTTAAGTACAACAAGCCTTATTGTAACATGACCTATAAGCATGGTTTATAATATAATATATATTGTTTATCCGAAGGAACTCAATGTAAACTTTTTAATAATTTGAGAAAAAAAACCTGCTAGTTAATTTACCTATCTCGTGGGTTAGGCCAGAGATACTAGAACATCCTGGCCCACCTGATAGCCACAATAAAAGTGGGTCTACATCAGGATCCTTCTCTGACTTAACAAAGTAGTAGAAGAGGCGCACGCTAGTACTCTCGTTCACCTCCACGTATCTGCAACAGTAATATTGCGCACACATGATATATATGGATCGCTGGCATTGAATAGCCAATAAGTTTTCATTTCTTTGTACCAAGGCTGGAACCACAATCGTTGAAGAAGGAGAAACATATGTAGCTAACCACCCATTGTGGTTTAGAAAACAAATACTTTTAGCCACATGATTAAATTAATAGAAGTGGCATTGATTTTATTAGAAATACATATCAAACCCTACGAATACGACATTTTGGAATATACTGGAACTATCATTTGGAGGCTATTGTAGCAAGTCGTAGTTTGGAGAAGATCATTATAGTAGCGTTCATCTCAAATGGGTGGAAGACAAGTACTATGATCTACGTATATGCAAATAAAAGAATTTATAACTATTATGATCATTATTGCCGGCGCAAACTTTTTTATGATGCCTAACTCTGTCATTGTGTTGAAGTTATTGGATTTTTAAAAAATATATTATTATTTTAATGGAAAATGAGAAAAAAATATTTTGTGCCTAATTATAATCGTGAAAGTAGAAGCCAATCAAATTCATGATGTTCGATGTGAGGCTTGTCGAAGGGCACAAGTTCAACATAGGCATATCAATTGTTGGAAGCGCGGTGAGCCAAGCCATTCAAACTGCGGGTGGTTCAATAGGGGCTTGTTGAACTTTGATAGTTCGACTAGGCCCACAACTAACAGCCGCAGGCCCTGTCTAATGACAGTAGTTCAATTGGCCCCAGTATATCCCCTATTGAACAATGGGCATTCAGTACAGCCCTTTTAAATCCTTCCCCACAGCTCGACAGGGGTCGTTTTGATCTGAAGAGGGAGGACCACTTAGAGGGCACATTGGCGTCGGCAATGAATGGGGAGTGCAGCTGTGGGAGAGGACGCTGCTGGAGGCCACGAGAGAGGAAGGAGGCCACACCTGCAGACAGCGGGAGAGGAGCGGCAGTGGAGGCCCTCCCTCAGGTGATTGCAAGGTTAAATTCCCAATCCCTAAGTAAAATGCTGGATGTTAGCACAGATTTAAATTAGTTTTACTAGAATAGTTAGAGTAGTTAAATATTTAAGTAAGTACTTGGTGAGTACATGTCTTTTTTACTTAGTATTAATTTATTATTACAGTGAAAAAGGTTTTTGGTAGCACGTATGTTACTGTGCATAATTGGCGGTAGTAAAAATTAACACGGAGTATTAAGTTGACGTTGAACCGTATTTTAATGAAGTTGTATTGCATCAGTAAAAACTGAACCACATGTGAAATTATTGGGTAGTTCCATGGTAAGACATTTTTTCATGTTCTATCAAGATGACATATGATGTGGTTATTTGTGCGTATGACGGTGATGCTCCTATACTAATTTTGCGTTAGCAGGGTAGATTTGAACTTATATGCCTAAATTCACTAGAGTAGTAGGTTATGTACGATGTCCTAGGGTGGCTGCATAATATGTTTAGGGTTGATCCAATTGTTCAAAAGTTTGTTATCAAAACTGTGAGGCCTGTAAGGGGTGAGTATGCTTGGCAGTGGGAAGTAGTACAACTTGCATGCACTGGAAGTTGGAGAAAGTTTGTAGCTAGAGTGAATAAGAAAGGGTATAGCCTGGCAATACTAGTGGAGTCATCAAAGCTGCGGAGGCAGCGCTGCCGCCCCGTCTGTTGCCTCCTCGCTCCTCCCATTGACGTCCATACGCAGCAGCGTGTCGCATCTTCCCTCGAACCCCTGCAGTTCTCCGCTTTTTCTCGGCTGCAACCACACGGTGAGCAGGTGAGAGCTCAACCCGCTCTAATGCTGCATGCAAGTTGCTTGATGAAATGCTTCCATGGAGCCAGCTTCTAGTTTCTTGTGTACATGTACAATTTGCTATTTTCCGTATATTTTAACAAGAACTTTCTGCTTCCTCAAATTATTTACTTGATGAGTTCTTGGAACAAACTCATGTCGAATCTGTGCAAGAGTTTAATGTGTATTACTCTGGCCTAAGTGAAGCAATGAAAGAGGTTGTTGCACCATATAGTAATTGCTAGGCGTATGATTAGGCTGACGACAAGCTGAACTCACTGTTGACTATTGATGCAACAAATGAGAATGAGGCGTTAGTGGAATAGATGCAGCTGGGAAACAAGGAATACATCAAAATTGTAGTGCAAGGCCAATATACAACACACTGGGACATAGAAATCAACGTGCTTCCTGTCACGTCCCAAAACGACTCTAAAATATATCCTTTAAATGATGCCTAGAATAATTAAAATCCTTGTGAAAGCCCCCAACAATTAAAATGTGCAAAGTTAAAAGTCAAATGAGGCTTGGAGGATTTTTGTATATTTCCTAAAAGCCTAAAATACGTAAATAAATTTTAGTGGAATTTTCAGAGCACAAATAATAATTATTAAGAAATAAACAAAGTTAAAATGATTTTATAAAAAGAAAAACTCTAAAAAGTCCCCTTTCCCTCCCTCTTCCTCTTGGGCCGGCTCAGCCCATCTCCCTCCCCCTCCCTCTCCTCTCCCCGCGGCCCATCCGGCCTCTCCCCGCGCGCGCGCCGCTGACGGGCGAGCCCACCCGCCACCCTCGCTGACGGGTGGGGCCCACCCGTCATCCCCTTCCTCCCGCCGCTCCCGCCACCTTGCCCGCGCCCTAGCGCCGCCGCCGCCGCGAATCCCGCCGCCCCCGTCCTCCCCGCGTGCAATCAATAGGGGGGAATTATTCCCCGTGATTCCCTCTCCCTTTCCCCCCATTTTTCCCTCTCTCTCTCGCGTTCAAACAGGCGGATTTGCCCCCGCAAATCTCGCCGGCACCATTGATGGCGGCCGGACCTCCCGCACCTATTCCTTCCCCGCTGGCCGCCCTCTCCCCCTTCCAACCCTATATAAACCCTCCCCGCACTTCCTCCGTTCGTTTCCGCCTCTCGCCGCCCTTCCTCCTCGCCGAAATCGAGCTCGCGCCGTCGCTCTCTCTCTCCGCCGTCGCCGCCAAGCTCCGGTCCGCCGCCGTCGTCGCCCCGGACCACCGCCCACCTCGGCGTCGCCTCCTTCGGCTTCACCGCATCCTCACCGACCTCGTCCACCCCTCCGTTTCGCTCGTCGACCGCCGAAACGCCGTCGACCCCGTCGACCCGAGCCGTGCCGCCGCCTTCCTCCGCTCCGGCCGCCTTTTTCGTCGTCGCCGTCGACCTAGGGTGAGCCATGGACCGCCGCTTGTTTTCCCCCTTCCCTTCCCCTCTCTCGACCACCGCTCCGCCGTGCCTATGGCCGCCGCCGGCGACCATAGGGGGGCGGGCGCCGCCTCCCGCCGGCCACGCCGGCTTGGCCGCCCTCGGCCGCGCCGAGTGGCTGCCGCGTGGGGCCCTGTGCCGTCAGCCGCCCGCGCCCTCGGGTGCGGCTGACGCGTGGGGCCCACGGCGCCGGCCGGTGTGAGCCCGGGTGCACCCGGTCCACCGTGGACCGTGAGGCTGCCGCGTGGGCCCCACTCCCGTGGACCCGGTCCGCGTGCCCCCTCCCCTCGGCTGACGCAATAAACCTTTTTTTTTAAATAAAATTTAAATGAAGAAATTCGCAAATATTCACTTAAAGAGCATATAAACTTCAAATAGCCATAACTTGGCCATTTGAACTCGGAATTGGACCGTTCAAGTCTCTAATTTTTCCTTAAGAAGTCAAGAACCTATTTTTGTGCTTTGTTCCTGCTTGTTATATGGAGTTTATTAGAGTAAAAGCCTTTTCTTTTCCGTTGGTCGTGTAGACGCTGCAGCTTCAGAAGATCCGCTCTTCGTGGAAGTTGAAGCCGACGTTTGGGAAAGCGAGCAAGGCAAGTCACATCATCCTTGAACATATTGAATCCCAGTTTATAAAATTATGTTGATTTAAATTATTGCATTATCGCTTTATTTAAATTCCCGCGTTATCACTGTTTTATCTAGCCATGCCTATTTACCTTTGTTATGACCTTATTATTGTTATTGTTATTATTTCCTTGTTCACCCTAGAATAAACAAAACCCCAACTAGTGGACACTCTACTCATGGTACCACTAGTATGATTTTTGGTAGATGCTTCGCCGCTTAATTAGGCAACATTAGGCGGTTTTACAACTCTAGACTTTGGGATATTCATATCACCTGGATACTATGGAATGGTTGGATTATTGTGGAATTGGATTCACACCTCCCCCTTTATTCAAAATCCTCAAAATGGTTTTAGGCTGGGCTCGGGGTGCATGGTTTTGATAGTAGCATCTCGGCCATATAAGGACCGGTCTTCGGGCCTCTGTTGCAAAGCACTACCGTACTTCCACATGTCTAGTGGGTAAGGCTTAGTTTGTGGCTCAGTCTGGTTATAAACAAAAGTACACGGATGGAGATGGACGAAGTCGGGGGTCGATGGACATCTCTAGGACAAATGAAAGCTACACGAGCTGCGGCCCGGTAGTCGAGATGTCATGGCACAGGGCCGGTGTCCTGCTGCTAGGGGCTCAGTCCTGCCTACCTGTCCCGGGGGTTCCGGCCGTAGGTGGGGTTGGGTCGGTACTCTTGTCTATGGCTAGGATGGGTTGGAAACTATGTCACGTCTTCCGTCCATATACTGTGATGGTATGTGGCACGTGGTTACACGTGAGGAAGATGTGTCTTGTGGGTAAAGATGTACACCTCTGATCAGAGTATAATCTATTCGAATAGCCGCGCCCTCGGTTATGGGCAAGCCGAGCAATGTACCCAAGTTAGTGTTTTAATTCTTAAAACCTGCTTAACAACTAAAATGTGGAATGGTTGGCCTGGGTTGGCTTGGGACGAGCTGGGACCCAGGGTCGGGTTGCTAGTTGAGTCTGAATCATCGTAGGCCTTGGGTTAAGGCAGGTTCGTGTGGGTTCACGGCCTTGATTAATAATATTGTATAGCTCTGGAATCGTGTTTACAAAATAGCTTTGAGCAACTAAGTGTCTTTTAATGCTGTTTACTGCAAACTCTAACCCTTTATATTATAACCCCCTTGTACTCCCTTGCAT